CTCACACACACACACACACACACACTCACAGACACACACAAAATCACCACCACCACCAAGACCAGAGTATAAATTAAATAAAATGCATTAAAATTTAATGGCACAGCAATCTGCATAATCTGAATCATAAATGTTACTGAGTTTTTTATAGGCTCCTAGTGCAGCTGAAGCTTGTTTATGTATGATCATCCAAGCGTCAGAGCATTCTCCTAGAATTAACTACCTATATCTGAGAATCAGACCAATTCTAGGAATTGTAATGAAACTTTTTTGCATTTCTTGATATAATATTGCGATGAGACCTACATTAAAGCAATTTACTTTTAAAGAAAAGGAATTGAAATGTAACCAACTCTTGGTGAAATGTACAAACAAATCTTTCTTTGGTATACTTTATTTCAAATAAACTCTTTTACAATCTTTTATTGCCTAATTATTTATGGAATTTATGATTACTGAAAGATAATTCAAAACTATTTAATTGTTCCTCCAATGAGAAAACTGCAAACCAGACTACAAAGGCTTAGCACTTTCTGCCGCTTTATAATCAAGCTCTGTAACTGAGGTAAGTGCCAAGCCTGACACTCCCTGGCTGCACCCTGTGAGGACAACATTAAACTGGCAATTCAGAGCAAGCTTCAAGGGGAGGGTGTCTTTGTGCATGGGCGTGTTTGTGTGTGTGTGTATGTGCACGTGCCCTCACATAATCAAAGACATATTTACATCTACAAATTTAAAGCTATTTAAAAGTATTCACTTAGAAAAAATAGAGCAAATTCAATTATTTATTGAAAATAATTTAAAAAGTCATCAGCATATATATATATACATGTATATGTACACATGTGTATATATGTTTACATATATGTATAATTTTGAGGGATATTTGAAAACCAGAGAAACACTATTTAAAAAGCCTCTTTCTTTTTTAATGTACTGATGAGGTTCTACGTTCCTCACACCAAAGTGACTTCAAGAAGTCAATTTTGAATATTTGTGGGAAAATGGTAGCTCAATTTTTTTTCAGCCCTTAAAAAATCATTTCTGAAAACTCACAAAAACTTTCTAGGAGAAAGACTTACTAATACCAAGAACAATCCATTCATCATACAGAAAATACAGATATTAACCATTTTTTTTTAATGGCAAATAAAGTGAATATTTGATATTTAAACTGGGGTTAAAATAATGAACAGAACTAATGAAAAAAGAATTATCCAAGAAAGCTTAGAGCAAACAATTGACTATGTATTGTACTAAATGGAAGTTTTGTTTTGTTTTGTTTTAGTGTTGAGTGGCTTTTACTTTAAGGAATATATTAAAATTACAGTTAAGAAATAATACCTACAATATTTGCTGAACATTCAAGAGGATAAAGAAAACAATTGAAAGTTGAGGCAGGAGAACATTTCATCATTTTCACATAGGAAATAAATGACTTTACACTTATCATTAAACAACGAGCAATACTAATACTGAGTATCATGGTGTCTTAATGGCATGCAATAATAGAATGAAAGAGCTGAGGAAAACTCTGCACTATTTTCTAAGTGGAGGTCTTAATTACAATGTATAAATTATTCATTTAAGAAATGTTTTGAGCTCTACTATGTTCTAGGCTCTCTATTAGGCCACAAGGAAACAAAAATAAGACATATTTCTTGCCCTTAAGACACTCAGAGAACAGTGATGTTGATAAATATATTATGCAATGTATAACATAATGAAAAAAGTGATAAAGAGTTCTACATTTATTTCAGGATACAAAAGATGGAGGAAGATCCTAAAAGTCTAATAGAAAATATATTTATTTTATAAAAAATCAAAAGCGGATCTTCCAGAGCATCAGTTTGCCATCAACCATCACAATTACCCTCTATTAGCAAAAAAAAAAAAAAAAAAAAAAAAAAAAGGAGCTAAGAACCCCTCAGACTATGATTTAACTCTTATACAGGCTCCAACTTTCACTATTCACTTCCTTTTTTCCAATTTCCTTAATATGAAATGATTTAGAGATTCAAAATAGATTTATTTCTTTACAGTTTTTACATGTGTACATGATCCAACCCTTAAAACTCAATCCTTTCCATTTTTAAGCAGTCTGACTAGTCTCCTATGGGGAAAATAGTTATATTTCTGGTAGTTCATTTCCATAACAAGTAGTTGTCTTTTGAAGAAGGGGTCCATTATTATGGAATATTTTTATTCAAAATTTGAATGATCACCTTCAACAATGTGTAAGCTTTCTGCAGTCGGGTTGGATTTAAAATCAGAACATTTCCAAAGTCTCTTCCCACTCTAAAATGTTACCCATAATAAGTAAAAAGTTTGAAGGGGCATAAGATCTCTGTAAGAATTAAGAATTTCAGAATATTGAGAACATTCATTCACTCATTTATTTAATCTGGTGTACAACCATGAAACGAATCACCTAAAAAAATTAAATCAATTAGAATTTGAATTGAAAATAATCCATTTTGGAGGGAAAGGAAACAGTGAAATTGAAGAATTAATTTAAAACACAAAATGAACAGTTTCCAGGGCTGCATATATACTTAACCTATCTTCAATCACATAAATTAGTCTAAAATAACTGGTGTGATAAAAATTGGTTGATATGCTAAGAAAGGTTTTTTCCTACAAAATTCACCCATCTATCCATTCATGTATTTTTTTCATCTATCCTTAAGTTTGTTTATTTATCAAGAGCTTTTGAATACTTACCCTGTGACAAGCACCATTCTAGGCTAGTCAAGATGCATTCTAGGAAAGAGGAAGACAAAAGAAAGAGCAAGTGTCAAGGATCTAAGGTGACTACAATTTTGGTAGGATTGGGGAACACAAAGAAGCCAGTGTGACTAGAGCAAAACTAAGGAGGGTGAAAATGGTAGTAGATGAAGCTGAAGAAATATGAATGTGGGCCTCATAAAGAAGTTTCTATTTTATTCTGAATGTGAGGAGAAGAGTTTAAATATAAATTTATGTGTAAATTTATAGTAAAATTTATTACATACATTAAATTCATATATAAGATTATACATAAAAGAGTTTAAATATAATTTTCCATTTTTTAAGGATGAATCTGACTACTATAAAAGGAAATAATTACAACAGGACAAGAGTAGTACAAGGGAGACAAATCAAGAAACTATTGCAGTCATCCAGGGAAAGAATGGGGTCAACTGAATTAAGGAGCTAGCAATGAATATTGTGAAAAATAGCTGAATTGAGAAAATATTTATAGAAAAAATAACAAAATTGCTGATTAATTAAATTTAGGAGCTGATGTAAAGAGAAAAATAGGAGTGGTTGGGAGTAAGGCTACATTTGAGTACAGGGAATCAAGAATTTCCTTCTGAATCTTTACATTTGAATTATATAAGTTATGAGGAAAGGTAAATAACTGTAAATATGTATTTGTAATTCAAGGGAGGCATTAAGTCTGGAAATAACAATTTTGCAGCATTCATGAGAAAAATTTCAAGGAAGTAGGGCACAAAAATAAAGTTAGAATGATTAGAATAGAAAATGGGAGTTTAAAAAAATATATAAGATGATAACTTGGTGACCTTAAAGTAGAAAAAGATGTCTTGAAGATGATGAAAAAATAGTGTCATATCACCATTTTTTTATCAAAAAGAATGTTAAAGTAAAAACTGATAAATTTGACTTATCAAAATAAGAAAATTGTTATTCAAAAGATACTGTCACAGGATAAAATGGCAAAATAACAAAGTGAGAAAAGATATTTGCAATATTGGAGAATACAAAAACTTTATTTCAACCCCTTTAGAGCATTTTTTCATCTGAGCCTGAGAATTAAACTCATGTTAGATTAATAGGAGAAAAGTACACAGATTTACTTGAAACAAATTTTACATAGCACAGGAAACTTCATAAAGAAATAAAGACTCAAAGATGTAGTTAGTTTTGATCACTCATATACTAAAATGGATAAAGGGTAATACATTGTGAAAAAGTAACTAAATTATGTGGGAAAACTAGAAGAGTTATTTTAACAAAGCCTGTACAGAATTATGTGTCTCAGGTTTCTGTTTTTAATAATAAAAATGTTTCTTTCCTTCTGCTTTAAGGCAGATATTCTTCACATTGGAACTCATCTCTTGCTTTTAAGACACAGCACCAAGGAAAGAATGATCTAGCACCTGCTTATTTTCAAGTGGCATTAACTCAAAATAGTCAATATGCCAGAGTGACATATTTTTAATTCCTTCACCATACACATAATTAACAAAGAGCTTGTATCTGTAATGGATAAAGAATGACTGCTAATCAATAAGAAAAAGACCAAAAATGCAACAGAAAAATAGGTCAAGCTTGGAATGGACACATCAGAGAAAAAGGAAAGTCAATAAATATGACAAGAGGCTAAACTTCGTGAGAAGTATGGGCAATGAAAATTAAATCAATATAATATAGTACCACTACACACTTAGAAGAAAGGATAAAAATTAACACTCTAAAATATTAAGGACTATCAAGAATGTAGGAGAGTACATTGCTTCATAAAATTGAAAACAAAATTGTCATCATCTAATAATGAAGGATATCATATGCAGATCCTATGATCTAACAATTCCATTCCAGAGTAAATACTCTAGGAAGTATGTACATGGGCAAGAATAGACAAAGAAGCATTATTCACAATAACCAAAGAAATTATTCACAACAACCAAATGTTCACCAACAGAAATAAGTAGATTTTTTATATCCATACAATCAAATATCATATAGCAAAAAATAAATAAACCATACTGTTACAAATAACAACACTGATGAACCTTAAAAACACAAAGATAAAACAAGCCAGAAACAAAAAAAAAGAAAAGCAAGGAAGTTGTTACCAAAAAAGGACTATGATTACCTT